CGCCTCCCCCCTTGGGTTTAGACCTCTCCCCTTAGGTGGGTTTCTTGCGTGCACTGGCTTCGGGCCTTCTGTGCAGACCCCTAGCAGCGCTAGTGGTCACAGTCGGTCGAAAGACCCGAGTATATCCACAAACGTTGCGGGGTGTTGCTGTCAAGGTGCCGTTCAAGCAAAGTCTGCTGACTCGGGCCACCGGCCCTCGCCTTCCCCCGACCCCTACCTAGGATCTTCTCTGGTGCGAGATTTTTCTGCAAGTGCCATTGCGTCGTGCCCAGGCCTCTTCGGTGAGCTTCTTCTTCTTGATGAGGGCCACGAGCTTTGGTATTCCGATCTTGGGCTGCACGCTCAGGCTTCTTGCAGCGCTGACGGTGCCTTTCAGTTGCCGAATCAAGCTGCTGCTGTGCCCTGTAGAAGCGCCGACCCTGCCACCAAGCATGCTGAAAGTTGCCTTGGTTTCTCTCCAGACCGCACCCTAGGGTTTAGGCCCCTCCCTCTTGATGGGTTACCCGTGTGCACTTTCACTTCTTGCCTTGTCGTGCAGGTTCCCTGTTGCGATTGTGGTTCAGGCTGGTCGCAAGACCCAAACGTATCCACTGCCGCTGCGGGGTCGTGCTGCTGCATTGCTCTGCTCGCCATGCCTGCCGACTCTGGTTCAGGATGGTCGCAAGACCCAAGCATATCCACTGTCGTGGCTGGGTCGTGCTGCTGCATTGCCTTGCACACCATGCCTGCTGATCTTTGTCGCGGGCTTTTCCCTAACCCCGCCTCGAGGTTTAGCCCCTGCCCCTGTGGTGGGTTACCCGTGTGCGCCTTTGTTTCGGTTCCGGGCCTCCTGGCCGAACCTTCCTTAGGCAAAGGTCGCTGCGCATCTGTGGGCCGCATGCTCAGGGTTCCTGTTGCTATGGTGGTTCAGGTCGGTCGAAAGGCCCGAGTATATCCCCGTTCGCAGCAGTGCCCTGCTGAAGCGCCAACCCTTCGTGAGCGGTTTCTTCCCTGCCTTGACTGCATTGTGGGCCTTTGGTTTGCTGTGAAAGCCCTGTGTGTCAACCACAATTTCCTTAATGCCCAAAGGGTCGGGGAAGCTTCTAACCCAGGCCCCGGTCCCAAGATTCCTGCGAGCCTCCACGGCTTCATTCAGCAGGCGGTGCAAAAGGCCATTCAGGATGCCATTGCTGGCTTCGACATCGCCTCTTTGCTGGGTGGTGCCGCCGCCCCGGCTGCCCCTAGGAACTCGCCACCTGTTGGCTCAAGAGCCCACCGACGCAGGAAAGCCCGGCTCAAAAAGGCGGCCTCCAACCTTGCACGCGCCGGCGGCTCGCAAGCTCAAGCCAGCCCGACCCGACAGGTCACCTTAGGCCCCGAGACGAGTGCTCAGGCAAAAGGCAAGGGTAAAGGCGCCAAAAGCCCTCAGGCTGGCAAGGCTCAAGGCAAAGCTGCTGCTGCTTCTGCACCGCAGGCCGGCAAAGGCAAAGGGGCCGGCAAGGCACAGCCGACCAACCAGCCCAAGGCCGAGGATCAGTGGACCACCGTGCAGCGCCGCAAGCCTGATAAACCCGAGGCCCAGTGGAAGCTCCGAGCTACCGACTGGGATGCCAAGGTTTACATGTACCATGAGGTTGCCGAGGCGCTTCAGAGTTTACCGGGCGGCGGGTCTTTTAAGGCGGTTGTCTTGTGTGAGTCTCAGGACCAGCTCGATACCATCGCCGGGCTGCTCAAGCACTCGGGCACCCAACATGCCGTTCGTTTGGTGGTTGTTGCTGCCAAGGCCTCCGAGGGCGAGCGTTGCCCGGGTGAAGTGGGCTCGCAAAGGGCCTTCCGCCATGTGCATTTCAGCAAGATTTTCACTGCGGGCCTTCAGGTGCCCGGGCCGGCGGTCACCGGGGCTGCCCTTAAGCCTGTTGCCGAAACCCCCACCATGATCTTGTATGTCCGCTTTCATAAGCAGTTCATGCTCAAGGCCAAGTGGGAGGATGCCCTTCGTGCCCCACAGGCCGCCTTTCACTTGTGGGTGGCCACTCACGGCCTTCGGGTGCGGGACTCCTTTGCCTGGTCCAAAGAACGCCAAAACCAGGAAGTCTCTTCGGTGTTTGGGCTCGCGAGGGTCGATGTTGCTGATGCACAGGCCATCGTCGCTTTGAGTGGTCAAGGCCTCTTCGTTGACCCTTCGAAACGGTCGGGGTTCCCTGACTACACCACCGAGTGGATCGACAAGCTCCCGAAAGAACAGCCCCTGGACTACCTTGCTAGGGCCGGTGCTCTAGGAGCTCAGTTTGGCTTGGTGTGTGGCACTCGCAGCCTGGGGCGCCGTACGGCCCGTGACCCGAGCAAACCGACGGCTCGAACGTGGATGCTGGAGAACACCCCGCATTGGTGGACCCCGGCTCAAGCCGAGCGCGCCGTGAGCACTGTGTTCTCCGAGGTTAAGATGCTCCGGCAAAGGCGCAGCCGCTCGGGATGCACCTTCTCGTTCAGAGGCTCGCATACCACTGCCCACGATATGGTGGCTTTGCCGCTTGAGGCGGAGAACGGCGCCGAGGGCCAGACGCTTTGGTGCCGATGGGCGCCGCCGGCACGCACCGTGCAACGCCAGGCGATTCACACTTCGGGTTCGTGGTCGCTTGTTCGCCCTGCCGATCCCTTTGCGACGTCGGAGACCACAGCCCAGCCTAAGACCGATAAGCCCGAGGACCCCCAAGGCACCAATAGCCCGGCCGATGTCGAGATGGCTCCCGCGGGCCAGGCCCAGGCACAGGCACAGGTTAAGCAGCGGGCTCCCGATGCCTCCGCCCCTCCTGCTAAGAGGCGTCAGGCAGAGCAACGGGCCATCCCGCCAGGCCTTGTGCTGCATGAGATTCCCAAGGAAGGCAATTGTCTTTTTGAGGCATTCGCCAAAGGCCTGGCTGCCACCACTGGCAAAGAACAGCTTCACCACCTGTTGGTGCGAGCTGAGTTGATCCAGCACTTCGTCAAGAACCGCTCGGTCTACGAGGCCCAGTGGGATAAGGAGCTACCAAACGGAAGCCAAGGCGAGAGCTTTGAATTGTACATCGAGGAAATGGCCAAACCAAAGGTTTGGGGCGGCTTGCTTGAAATCCGGGCCCTGGCCAGGATGCACAACGTGCGCATCACCGTCGTGCCCCGGGCTTTGTCCGAGCAAGTTTTCACTGTGAAGCCGGGACAGAAGCAGAGGCATGTGGGGCCAGCAGCAGGCACACTGTGTGGACAGATGGCTCTGAGGCTGCCGGGCCGAGCGCTCGCACCGCTCCGCGCCAGAGTGCCCGTTCTACTTCGTCGGCTGCTCCCTCTAGGCCCCCTTCCCGTTGTACGGTTTGGACTCCACCTGCTGCTTCTCAGGTTGCACCCTCTCAGGTTGGCCGCAAACGTAAGCTTGAGCTTGTGCTGGGTTGTTCCGGTTCTAAGGGCAGCGCTCGGCGCTCCTCGGGCACGCGTAGGCCCCCCTCTAGGGTTACCAAGTGGACGGCCGTGCCGCTGATCCCGCGAGAAGGCGCCCATGATGGTGCCAGCCGGCACGCCGATGAGGATGTAGTGGTGCAGGCTCGGGCTGAGGATCAACTTGAAGCGATGGTGCAGGAATGCGCTACCGGCCCAAAGCGCAAGACGGGCCGCCCTGGACTATGTCAATGGATCCAAGGCGGTTATGCTCGCTGTCGCTTGTGCCCTTTCAGGTTTGCTACCACTGACCCGGCTGCAGCCCAGAAGATCTTGAAAAATCACTTCGGTTCTCACCACCGTGGATTCTCTCCCTCCGGAGCTGCCCCCATGTGCCA